GGACAGCCAGGCGGGGAGCTCAGCTTCGGGTCTCATTTCATTTAGGGGGTAGGACATGTCTTTGGGCCAACTCGAGATTAAACTTCGCACATGGTGATCGTGCGTGGGTGGGTGTGGAGTCGACCTCCGCATGTGACACGGGAGAGTGCATTAGACGAGTGGTTGCCGGAGGATGCCTGCCTGCAAGGTTGCCTTGGGTTCCACCTCGTGACAGCACCGGAAAATTGGTGCGTTTAGGGGTGTCACCGGTTCACCACCTCCTGCTTGCGAAGCCTCGGGGCTTTTGAGCTTGTATTAGGTAAGGCGTTGGTCGAAGTGAGTGGATGGTTAGAAACAGTGGTGTCATTTTAGACTTAGCGGAAGTGGAGTGCAGGCAGGCTTTATGCATTCTTCCATCAGTTGTGAAAGTCGTTATGATGCGGATCTCATAGTCTGTAGGGTTCTGGGATCAAAAGGTAAGTCTGCCAATCCCATGCGGCGTTTGCCTTAAATTACCTAAACTCTGACCTTGCAGATTCAGACCTCGGAATGGTGACTCCGCCAGCAAGCAGGTGAGTGCTGGGGTGAGAGAAGCCGCAAGGGTGCAGTTGGCCTTCTGTTAGGAGGTGCCAGTGTGTGGTAAACCTGAGCTGGGTGGGGAGGGGGGACCTGGAGGCCACATTCCAGCTGTAGCTACAGCCCTACTTGAAAATGGAGTAGGAAGCAGAGTTGTGTTTATAGATTAAATCCAGCTGGCTTGGGACCAGCAGATGGCGTAATGGCTATGTCGCTGGACTCTCATGTAGTTGAACCCTGGTTCGAGTCCCAGATCCGGTGACTTAAACTCACGCTGGGCACGTGCGCAAACTTGCCCAAGATTCCCCAGAGGAGAATGGAGGAAAAGGGATTGCAGCGTGGCCATCACCCCGGAGGGTGATTTCTCACTTTCTCTCTTTCTGGTGAGTGCATACCCTATAGCAAAAAACTTCTCCACATAAATAAATAAATAAATAAATGCATCTGGCCACATCTTTAAATGTTGCACCTAGAGCTTGGAAATGGCATAGATCCAAGACTGAAATCACGAACCTTAACAGTGTAACCTCTCAGCCCAGGCCTCTTCTGTGAAATGGGATGATGCCTGATGATTTAAAAGTAGACTCTTTAAAATGTATGCAAAAAAAGAATGGTATAATTGAAAATCCCTGTCATTTAAAAAGCACTCTGTAAATATTAGCTATTATAATAATTTTTAGACAGAATGCCTTTTTGGTTCCTTGTAGGCCTAAATTTTTTGTGTCTTAAATGTAAGGCATGTTGGGAACCAGCAGTTAGCGTAATGGTTATGTCGCTGGACTCCCACGTAGTCGAGCACAGTTCATGTCCCGGACCCGGTGGCTTAAAACTCACACCAGGTGCGTGTGCGTGCGTGCCCAAGATCCCGAGAGGAGAATGGAGGAGAAGGGATTGCGGCGTGACCATCCTCCCTGGGGGGTGATTTCTTGCTTTCTGTCTCTATGTCTCTCTCTGTCTGGCGAGCGCACGCGCCCTATAGCAAAAACCCCTCAAAAAAAAAATGTAAGGCATGTTAATTTTCATTTTGTTTATGAGTTATAAATTCTTTCTGCCTTGACATTCAGTGTCAAACTGGAAACTCCAAGAAAAGATGTGTTTGCCTTGAGCATTTTTCTGTTGTCATCAACAATAAATTGGATTAGCGTATCTTGGAGTATCACTGTTCCTGCATCAGAAGTGTGAGGTTTATGTGCCTCTGTCACTGTGAAATTAGGCAAAGGCTTCACTTAACTGATCAGCAGGAGGGCTTTTTGGGGGATGGAGGCTTGTCTTTGTAAACAGATTAGCACCTAGGAAGGACATCTCTGGGGAGAGAGGTTTTGTTTTTGCTGATTTTTTAGTTGGAAGGGGGCCCTGGGGAATACCTGCTAACTCAGCATTACCTTGTGAATGGAGTTAGAAGTCAAGCTCCCAGCCTCTTCCTGGTGACCCTGGGGACCGGTGGCTTCCCAGGAAGAAACTGCTCTGCCCAACCTCTCTGGAAGCAGCTGAGAAGCACTCACTGTTGTGGGCCCCAGGAAGGCCCTGGCTGAATGTAGAGTCTTTTAAGCAGCAGGATACTGTGAAGGGCCAGGGCTCGGACCCTGCAGCCAGATGGCCTGAGTACCGGTCCTGGGCGGGTCATCCACTTCTTTGGGCTCGACTTTCGCATCTGAAGAATGTTGCCTACTTCATAGAGTTATGGGCTTAAAGGAGGGAACCTCTGTAAAACGTAGTGGTGCGTACTCAGTAAGCAGTAGGCGATGGTGGGGGTTGAGATCTACACTAGCTTGGCGGGCCCTGGGGTGAATGCTGCTTCCTGCATTCAGGGCGTTGGGGTACTGTGACCAAGGAAGCTTTAAGGAGGGGGAGTCGGCCAAGCTGAGCTGCAAAGCATGAGTCAGATTCTACCAAACTAGGTTGGGGTGCCTCCACCTTTGGAGGACCCAGACCAAAACCTCTGAGGTGAGATGGCAGGGTTCGCCTTGCCACCCTAGAGCGAGGCAGACCTAGGGTTAGTCCCACTGGGTCAACCACACAGAAGTGGGTCAGAGTCTCCTTGGAATGACACAATAGAGACTGGATTTTTTCATCCTCCACTCCAGAGTAGGCAGTAGAAAGTGTGTATGTGTGTGTGTGTGTGTGTGTGTGTGTGTGTGTGCATTTAAATATTTATTTAATTTTTATTTATTCACTCATTTTGACCAGAGAGACACAGAGAAGGAATGAGAGGGAAAGTGAGAAAGGAAGCCACCAGGTCCCGGACTCGAACCGTAGTCGGCCATGTGGGAGTGTCCAGCACCTTACCCACCACGACACCTGCTTGTCCCAAGTGTATGTTTATTAATTCATTTTCTTCAAACAAGACAACTTTTTATTTTTCTAAGTTTGCGTATTCCACAAGAGGCAGACAGGCACCTCCACCAGGGTCTTTATGCCGTGATCCCCGCGGGCTCAGCCTGTCCAGATCAGGGGTGCGCACGTGTGTGCCAGCATGCAGAGGGTGGCTCTGGGATGAGAACCCGCCAGTTGCATTACGGTTGAGTACTGCCTGGCCCAGTAGAAAGTTTTTAAACCGAGCATAAATGGCATCAGATGAGCTTCCTGGGAAGACCATGCCTACAGTAGTATGGTATGGGGTCAGAAGGAGAGGATGCCTGTGCACTGTCCTGGCAGCTTCGTGTCTGCTGGTGACTCAAACAAACAAACAAACAAAAATCAGAAAACAGACAAAAATCTACTTAGCAGAGAGCATTTCCGTCCAGATCTAAAAACTCAGAGAACATTGATGAAGAAACGCACAAATTTTTTCAGGCAGCCTTCCCTCGTACAGTTCATCTTCAAGCGTTCAGTATATCGTATATGCTTGATTACAAGGTGTGCCGCCCAACCCTGAAAAAGTCTCCCTCTGACACAGGGTGTCGCCTCCCATTCAGCACTCTGCTTGCAGTTTACTGTCTTGGTCTCTATTTTAACAATGAGGTGCCGTTTGGGAAGGGCTTATTGGGTTGGAACGACCTCAGCACATACTAGTCTGGGATGTTTATTGTTCATCTTACCAAATCAGCTAAACCAACAAACAAACAAAAACACAGGAAAGATTGGGTAATTATTCTTGTAAGCATTAGATGGCGGCGAAAATAGAGTTTTTAGAGATCTTTAAAAAATAGCACAGTTGAGGCCAGCAGGTGGCATGGTGGTTAAGGGCACTGGACTCCCACGTGGGCAACCATGGTTCTAGTCCTGGAACTGGGGGCTTGCTTTCTCACCCCCCCCACTCTGTCCCTCTCTGGTCAAATTAAAATAAATAAATAATAAACTTTAAAAGAATAACTCTAGAAAAAATAGCACAGTAAATGATGAATGAAAGGCAGTCCTGCCCACCTGAGTAGGTAGGTACTTGGGCTGAGAATCCTGGCAAAAGCCCTCCATGTGGTTTCGAGAAGTCCCCCGACTTACCTGGTTTTTTAGACGTGACGGTGGAGCATTCTGGAACGCAGACTGACGACTCAGAGTGGCAGGCTCGATCAGACACTGGCGTTGAAGGTGTGCATGAATAACTGGAGTGAAATTGTTTCGTGAGTTACTGTATCATCTTAATGTATTTTAAGTGTGCATAAATTAATATGTTAAAGATTATACTTAGAGATTTGACTTTGGTCCACAGCCCTAAAGTTTGTTCTTTTGTTATTGCTTTTTGCTTTAAGTCTACTAAAACATTTTCTTTTTGACTTTTCTCATTTTAAGGGGAAGGTTCTCTTAGGTTCGAGCTCCCCTTTTAGTTGGCTGTTCTAGAGAAGTTCGTGTGTGCTGTTTTCTCAGCCAAAGCAAATTCCCTTTTCCTTAATTTTTAACTTGAAAATTTAAAGAGCCCCGTGTACTGGTAGGGTAGAAAACACAATAAAGAATAGTCATAATTCTTTGAGTAGCGTCAAAGAAGCTCTCCTAGAAATCTGTGTCTCGATAACTTCGGAGTGCTTGGCAGGAATAAAACGTAGCTCTGCTGTGCTGAGGGGTGCAGACCTAGGACACTTCCCGCTGGGTCCCTCGGATGCCCTGCTCTGGGCTGGAAAGCGGAGATCTTTCCACTCTGCGACACATGCATACATGGTTTAATGCCATTAACGCATCTCTGAAGTCCTAATGCACTGTAATTTGGTTTCACAAATAGTAATAAGCTCTCTCTCTTCTTTTTTTTCTTTTATTTTTTTTTTTGAGAGGTTTTTTGCTATAGGGCATGTGTGCTCGCCAGACAGACAGAGACATAGAGACAGAAAGCGAGAAATCACCCCCCAGGGGGGATGGCCACGCTGCAATCCCTTCTCCTTCATTCTCCTCTCGGGATCTTGGGCACGCATGCACATGCGCCCGGAGTGAGTTTTAAGCCACCGGGTCCAGGACGTAAACCGCGGTCGACCACGTGGGAGTCCAGCAACATAGCCATTATGCTAACTGCTGGTTCCCAAGCTCTCTCTCTTCTGAGAGCAGAGTATTCTGTTCCCTCCAGCTGTGGTGGGGTTTGCAAATACGAACACATAGGCGTTTTTGTCATGTAGTCAAACGTAGAGATACTGTGAAAATCCATTCTGTAGGTTGTGCTATGTTCTTCCACATTAATGAGGTTTTGTGTAGAAGCAATCTTTCTGGACAGTTAAACAACATTAAAGTAAGCATCAAATATTACGGCTTCTTTAGTTCAAAGCACTCCAAAAACATTACGAGGCTAAAGTAAGCTTACAGGAATCCCAAACGGAAGCCAGACATCCCTCACTTCATTTTTAACATGAGCTTCGACTCAGAAAAGCCTGCTCCCTGGGAACTCTGTCTCTTTGGGGGACTCAGCCGCAGCAATGGTCGTGGTGGACAGCCGTGGGGCAGGAGGGAGTGAGGGTTTGCCAGCAGCGTGGCAGGGCCATGGCAGGTTAGTGGTTCACTCTGGCTGGATTCCGAAGGCAGTTTGAAGTGGGAAGATATTGGAATACCCCATTGAAGTGGTCTGGGCTGTCCAATGGCGAGG